CCCTTTTGTTGTTGTTGTGATTGTTGTTACTGTTGAGTTACGACGGGATGAAGCAAACCAAAATCTGAGGTGAGTTAAGCAAAGTCAACAAAATCAGGCCAGAAAGATCAAGCAGGGCTTCGAACGATTCTATCAAATGTCTACGTGAGATCACGCAAGCGAAAAGTTAAGGGACTTTAAAAACTTTTTAACTATTGTCGATATATTTTGATTTTCTTTTGAATTACACATATCATAATTAATAATGATCAATTAATTGTGATATATATATATATATATATATATATATATATATATATATATATATATATATATATATATATATATATTATATTGATGCATGTTTCATTAAATAATATAGACAAGTGTTGTTTATTTATTTTATATTTTATGTAAATTCTTTTCATATCGTCTGATAAGCTTAATAACATTATCATCGAAAGACGAAAGAAATTCACAATATTGATACATATTTTTTAATCTTATCTAAGCTTTCGATTTACATAAGTACATAGGTACTTTCATGAGATCATTAAAAAGAGTATAGCATGACGAAAAAGACGCCAAACTTGACGAAAACAAAACTTTATCATCTAAATGTTTATGTTATTATTAAGAGGAAAGATCAAAGTATTTTTCGGGTATTTCTTTTACATTTTGTAATCGTTCCTAGCACATCCAAAATTTTCGTTAAAAATCTTTTTTTTTAGTCAGCAAAATTGACAGATAATCGATCATGTCAACTATTTTTACCAATTTATTTAAAAAAAATGAAAATCTCAGTTTGAAATTCTTTTAAAAATCAATTATAATTTTTTCAAAACTTATTTTAAGAAAATCAGAAATTATAATGTTTATTTAAAATATTTTGAACCAAGCTTAACTTAGTTTCTGCGCCGAAAAGACGTAGTTTGAAAATAAAACAAAGCAGGTCATAACCTTTCGCGTCACTTGACAAGGTGACGAAAGACATTCATGACGTTTTGATAGCTTACGTGAGGATAATTCCTTCTACGGAAGGAGAGAAGTGAAGTTATTTAGATTTAAGTGAACAAATTATTTACCTCGTTATTTTTAAGGAAAACTTTCAGCGCTCTAATTTTTTAATTTTTTTTTTTTGTACATAACTTTCACCTTTACGTTTACGATGCTTTATGGAAAATATATTATAAAGAAATTAAAATAAGACTGTTGAGAGTGAGATTAAATTTCAAGATATCTAATTAATTTATAGGTAACTTTCTTATGAAATTTTATCAGAAGTGTACATAAAATACAAATTTAATTTCATAAGGTGATACTGATACTTGTAGGTACCTTTCTCAGTTGAAATTGAAAAATCAAATTAACTTAAAATAAATCTATATCTCAAAAGGACATTTACGAAAGTGAATGCGGCTTTTAACTAATTTTATAATATTTTAACAGCTTAAATGTAAAAATCTATTACAATTAAAGAAATAACAAATAATTATATTCAGTATTTAAGTTAAATACTAGACAGAAACTCAATCCACGTTACGTTTTTTTATTGCACACATGATACTCCCGGTCTTCCGTAGATTTGATTTACAGTGTTATTATTGACAAAAATTGTATTGTTTTATATAGTGTTGTTCGTTAGTTTGTAAGAAGCTTTGGAAATTATAATCTGTAAATATATATCTACTTAATAACAACATTTGATATGAAAAGAATTTACATGAAATAAATAGACAACACTTGTCTATATTATTTAATGAAACATGCATCAATGAAAAAATGCTGCCTAAATACACACAATTCAAATTATATATATATATCGATTATACTCTTAATGCTTAATGACTGAATTATGGAAGTGTTATGTATAATTGAATACCCTATTTTTCCCTTTTCTTGAATATCTTGTCTAAAATTCCCAGAGGGTCATTCCGGTATGTCATCGAGTTCGAGGAGACTAAGATATTTGCATTAAATAAATACTAATTAAAGCTCTAAATTAAAATTCCGATATTGATAGGTTACTTCCCATGAAATTTTCAAAAACTATGACTTTTTACAACTGGCAAATTCACTTAATATTAATAAACATAAGAAATTAAATTTTGTTTTAAACTGTATATTATCAATATTATTTTGTTGAACAAGAAAAAAGCTTCGATTGTCATCGAAACCGCAAATCCTTTGAACAAAAATCTCTCTTCATGTTGTTCTCTCTATTATTACATTACATTCCTATTTTTTTATTTTACAGTCTAAAAGAATCCAGATTTTATTTTTATCTGTGTATGAAATATTGTCTTTCTTCTCATTTAATTCCAGAATAGCACTGAATCGGCAGTTATTATCCCAGTTCATTTTTTACCGGATCTCTGGGTAGTAATGAACTTGTGAGGGTGTTTGCTAGTTTTCAAGGAGAGTCAAGAGATAAGTATAATTTAATACTTTCTGAAAGTTATAACCCATTAAAAGTTTTGTTCATAGTTGCAAGCAATTCGTGTTCGTCCAGGGCAGGGTTAAGACATGTCCAAATGTTTGAACAAATGTCTACAGTCGAGGATCCCAAGGTGGGGCGCACACCTCATGGGATGGGGATTTGATTTTTAAGGGGGGGGGTCAATTCGAGAATGAGTTATTATTTGTGATTTTTTTCTAGTGAGTCTGTGCGAGTAAGAGAGCGTGTGCGTGTTAATACATATAGTGCATATACAGTATGTATATATGTAAATATTATAGCATATGTATGTACATGTGTAATTACGTATATACTGTACATAATATATATTTATACTAGTAACACAATAATATCTTTATAAATAGTGTAAAATTCTAAAATTAAATGATAATATGCATATGCAGCCTCAAGTTCTTAAGTTAATAAGCTTTTCGGCTTCCTTCAACTGAATAGGAGTTCACTTTTTAAATATTAAGAATTAAATGTCATAGCGTGGGGTGGGCGGTACCATGGTTTTAGAGATGCTTCGTTGGGTCATGACTTAAAAAAGTTTAGGAACCACTGGTCTACATAAATATCCACTGTCTACGCCCATCATTTTTCTCGTTTGGCATTCATTATTCATATTCATCACAGTAATTTCTAAGTCAATAATATTCATCGATGTTTTTCTGATCATGAGGAAATGAAAAACTGGTATCACATGCAGTTGCATGCAGAATGTGGGTCAATCAAATAGTGAAATAAAAATTCACTTTATATTTAATTTGAATAAAGTGTTTATTTCATGTTTCATCAGTTTTTACATAATGTCTTCCTTACTCACATTTCTTAGTATTAAGCCCTATATGCCCCCCCCCTAATTGAGTCTTAGGGAAATACAATCAAGGAATTGGCCCCGGGTATCACCAAACATCACTAAACCCCTGCACGTCACATTCTAGTAAAGATAAATCTTTTCATTAAAAATGAGCAAAAAGCCTGCATCAGTTGGAGTTGGGGAGGACTTGTTCACATAGGTTGAGATTTTGAGATCCCTCTTCTTTCATAACGCCTTTCTAAAAGACGAATGATCAAGCTGAATTGAAACCGTCTCGCTGTTTCTATACATTAAAACCTCAACTCATTTAACCTCCTTCCAAGTCTTCCAAGAAAAAGGCAGTGCGTTTGCACAATCGGCGCACACACACACACACACACACACACACACAAATAAGAAAGGAACTTAGCATCTGACTTGAAACACAAAGACCAAGTGAAGAGTAAACACGCACTAATTTTGACTCGCTTGGCCTACAATAAAAAAACCCTTTATTTGAAGACATCCGGCGCCGAACAAATACTCGGGTGTCGGCCAGCGTCCCTGTTCGGTCGGACAGCTTTGAAATAGAATTCGAAATTTATTGTCCATTCAAATCGACCCCTTGTGTTTGCATTTCTGTAATTGGGCCGGCCATTTCAGTGAGTCGCGTCGACAAAGGAAGAGCAAAGAGAATCAGTGAAGCGTCTAATATCACAAAGAGTTGGTTTCGTGCACACACATTACACTCAAATCTACAGGAGTGCTTTCGGAAAACACACGTCATTTACCGAATCTCGCCGACTTTTTGCAACTTACATTTGTATGAAGCGCATTTACAAATTGTATTCTTCTTCCAAAGAAAGTGAAATTTCAAACTGTAAAAGTTGTTATTTCGAAACACGTCCGAAAGATTCTGTCCGAGAAAAGTTGAAAGAAACAAAACTTCTATGAAAGATTTTTTTAATGTTTTCTTACACTAATAAAGAAATTAAAAGCAGCCATCTTATTTACCACATTTGGCTTCAATTTTTATCATATTATCGCTTTTCTCGCATCCACCAACATCGCTCTCTTCATCCGTCATCTCAATTTCTCTCCTTATCCATCCATATCGTTTCTCTCTTTTCTTTTACCTCACTCCTCATTCATTGTATTCTTTCTCACTAACATTTATAGTCATCGTTCATCTCCACCATTCCCATCACTCACCTACTTCGATCCATTCCATAAACCTCCCCCTCCATTTCATCTATTCCCCCCCACTCCTCTACTCTATTCTATACTCATCATTTTTTATCCTCATCATTCCCTCCTATACCGTCATATTCCATTGTTCTTATCGCTATCGCTTAAACATCCATTGCTGCCCACTACTATTCACACTGATTTTCCCCATACTCTCCTTCCCGTCTACATCGTCCTTTCTATCCTCATCGCTGAGCCCTACTCTGTCCATATTGATCTTTGTACATCATTTGTCACCCTCTATCTCTATTGTTGACTCTCATCTCTATGTCCTCCATTATTGTCCTCCACAATTATCAGCATATTCACATCGCTCCCTTATCGCTATCGCAATCATCCTTGCAGACACATTGGTCCCTTATTTCATCACTTACCTTTTATCCACACTGTTGTCCCCTCATACATTCCTATTTATTTCTATCATTTTCCATTTTATCCTCACCGCTCTCCTTTTTCATTCAAATCAATCATTCCATCCCTAACGCAGCCTCCCCCTTTCAATTTCCTCCATTTCAAATGCTATCCCTCTCTATCCTCATCATTCTCAGTTCCGTCTACATTAATTCCCCCAGTAGTTTGTTCGTGATGCCTATCCATCTACCAAACCATTCCGTTTTCCTCTTATATTCCCATTGCTCCTCTCTCACCACCCTTGTCGAACCCTCCATAGCAATGAACCCCGACTCCATTGCTGACCTTTACAGATCTCTCGATCCTCCATCATCATCGCAGTCCTCACGTTCAGGTCGTTATTCTCCATCAATCATGATATTTGGCCCTCAATCCCTATCTCTTCTATACACCATCGTCGTCGATCGTTCCCATTTCTATTTTCTCCATCCCAATCTTTCTCCCTTCTCTATCCTCATCATTTCTCGTCTGCTTCCCTATCCAGTTCTATTGTCCCAATCGCCGTCAACCGAAAACTTAAATGATGTATCCCTCCAACCCTATGGATTATCCTCTCCGTCATTATAGCTTACCCCCAGCGCCTCTCCATATCCGCCCTCCAAAAACATCGCTTTATACCTATTTCTATCACCACTCCATCTTTATTACCGTTCATTTCACTGAAAGTGCTCACCGATCTTCACATTGTCAGCCTCATCCCCATCCTCATCCGTACGCGCATCACTGGGCCGCTATCTTCAACAATGTTCCCAACTCCGTCCTTATCCATATCACTTTCCACTCTATACATATTCCCTATCTTCAGTGGTTCATCATTGGTTCCTCATCCATATCGCCAACTCATCTGTCTTTTATACTGTATTCCACTGCTGTCACACCTCCGTACTATTCGCTCTCATTTTCATCCATATTATTCTAAACACTCTCATTAGCATCCACTCCCATCCCCACCGCTGTCACTACTCCGTTCCTACTTTAACTCCTCCAGTTTTTTCTCCTCACTTCTATCCCAGTTGCATAAGATAATCCCATTATTTTAATTTTAAAGAAATCCATGGTTATATGCTGAAATGCATCAAATAGTACATTGCAGTCGAAGTTGTCCAGTCGAACAACTGCGAATAAAAGCAATACCACCTATAATTTTACAAAACTACCAATACAATTGTTATTATAAATATAATCGACATTAAGCAATAATACTAATATAATCGATACTACCAATATAATCGATATCAATAGTTTATAACTGAAAAACCTATTGACACTCTATTCACTAGAGAAAAGAAACATTTTTGATTTTTTTTTATTATCTTACAAACACGTATACATACATACATACATATATACATACATACATACATAGACACTCATATAGTGGGATGGGTAAATTGTCGCCATTTTATATTTTTGATCTCGCGCATGCGCGTTGTTCTTTTATTTTGTTGACTGCACAGTACAATAGGTCAGTTGGGAACCGTCTGAGAGAAAAAGACCATCATGACTTATTTCACTCCGCCAGAAATTTGGAAACGGCATGCTGTACTGCTTGGCATTCACGCGGGAAACTACAACACGAGCATTTCAGTGTTTTGGGGTGTCAAGAAGAGTTCAAAGAATTCAGAAAGAGTTGGATGATATATCCAGTCAATATCATGGTGTTTGGAGGGATCACTCGTGATAGCGTAGTTATGCCTCTATTTATCTTTCCCCAGGGCCTCAGACTCAACACTGAGGCCTACGTCAAGTGCCTTGAAGAGGTAGTGCTGCCCCGAGTCAAGAGGGAGGCAGATAGAAGATCCTGTGTCTGACAATAGGGCTCTGCACCATGCTACACAAGCAGGAGAATCCAGTCATTGCTGTTAGACAATTTCTGCGACCGCATCACCCCTTATATCTGGCCACCTAACTCCACAGACTACACTGATTATTGTGTGTGTCGCCCAGTTTGACGAGAGACTAACAAAACTGCTTGTAACACCAAAGATGAACTGAAGGCAAGGATTATGGCAGCATTCACCAACCAAGGTGACCGGCGAGAAAGTTGCAGGAGATTCCGAAGTCGTCTGAAGGCCATGGTTGAAGCCAACGGCAGCTTTATTGAATAAATGAAACCTTCACTATTTCAAGATATTATTGTGTAATTTTGGTAAATATATCTCTTAAAATAAGATGTCAGTGTTATTTTCATTTTTGTGTAATTTAGACGACAATGTATCCATCGCAACCTGTGTGCGTGCGTGTGTGTGTGTGTAAAGATTTCTCAGAAAAAGTCCACATGGGACGAAGCGCGTCGGCTAAAACAATAGTTTTCCTATTGTCTTTTTCCTTAATACACACACTAACACAAACACACGCACACATGTTGGAGTGTGTAAATAGGCTATTTTTTCTTATACATATGACCTCCATGCCGCTAATATATATATATATATATATATATATATATATAAAAGTGAACATAGAAGTCAACACTTAGAGGCGACAGTCTGTTTCATGCTATATGCAATCGTCAGGCCACGTGTGCTGTTATTTTTCTCGGCTATTTATACATATACGGGTCAGTGGTGCATTGTGGGTAGTCTATTATGGCGGTTATTTTACCGGAAGTCGTTTATTTAAAAAAAATTGTTTATATCACTTATTTAATAGCTTTGTTTTGGTTTGAGAATTTAATTAAAGCTATTTGTTCCGTTTGGGGGTTGGTTGTTGTAGTTTTATTCTAACTATTATTTTGGCAGAAACAGTTTTTAATTTGTGTTTATTTGGGTTGATTATCTTTATTTGTTTTTTCTAACGGTAACTTTATCGGGATTGGTTAGTTTATTTATTTACTTGGATGAATTTAGGTCAATTTATTTTACTTCTATATTTTTTCTCGTTTCGGTTTTCGATTTTTAAGTAACGTAGTATTTATTTATTTGTTTTTTAATTTTATTTTATTTTATTTATTTATTTATTTTTTATCGTTATATAACAGTTAGAGCTATTTTTTTCGTCCGACTTTTTGGTTTTGATTTTTTACTCTAACTAATATTTTGGTCGTAATGGTTTACTACTTTGTTTATTATTTACTTTATTTATTTAGGTTCGTTTTTTTTTTTTTTTGTTATTATTATTATTATTCTATTTCGTCTATTCTAACAGGTGTGATTTGGTAATTTGTTTGGATTAATTAATTTTGCTTATTTTATTGTTATTTTGTTTACTTGTTTATTTATTTGTTTTTTTTTTCCGTTTTCAATTTTTAAGTAACGTAGTAAAAATTTGTTTTCATGTCTGCATTTTGAGATGAGCTCGGATCTTTTATTGAATAATTTATTTTGGTCTGGGAAAGTAATGATAGCTATTTTTTTCCTCCAAGCAAAGTTTGCAAGTTTTTGGTTGGTTGTTGTAGGCTGGTGATCTTTTCCTTATTTTCCAAGATATTTTTGGCGTGATGTGGGTTTTGTTTTTAATTTCCCAGATATACTTAGAAAGCATTGTACTGTTCGCATATTTACTATTTGTGAAAGATGTTTTGTGTGTATAATTTCTTTGTTTCCAGGGTCCTTCAGTTACTCCTATGTATACTTTTTCTTTATTATCTGTTGATTTTATCGTGGCTTGGTATATTACGTTGTTTTGTAAACAATTTCCGTTTAAGGGACATTCGTTCTTTATTCTGCAGTTTCACGTGGGTTTAATTTGTTCGTGTGGTTTGTTGATAATTTTCCTGTTGTGCTTTTTTATTATTTGTGCCATGTTCTCGGTGCAGCTGTAGCTGATTTTTACTGTGTTTTTGTTGAATATTTTGTGTAGGGTGCTTGATTCCGGGAAGTGTTTGTGTAAGAGTTTGAAGAATACTTTTCCTACGTTTGTTTTTACGTTTTTGCTGTACGGTGGGTTGAACCATATGATATTTCTTCTCCTGTTGGCCTTTTTTGTGTTTTGTGGTGAGTATGTGAGTGTTGCTGGGAATCCGCTATCTTTTAGGGCTGTTTCATAGTCTTTCTTAGCTATGTTAAATATGGATTCATTGGAGGAATTGTCGGAAAGCCTGCGGTTAATCGATTTTGGTATCTGTTTGAGTATAGAAGGCGGGTGCTTGGAAGATGTGTGTATGTAGAGTGGTTTATCATTAGGTTTTCTATATGGTTTATATGTGCCTTTTGTTAGGTTGAAGGTAACATCTAGAAAATCTACTTCGTTTAGGTTAGTTTTTATATCTATTTCGAATCCGTTGTTTTTAAAAATCTTTATTATTGCTTTTCTAGTTTTGTCTGTGTTTTGTTTGTTACAGTTTCTTAAGATTATGAGACCGCCGTCCCTGTAGAGTCCTGTGTCATTTCTATCTATTATTTTGCTCAGTTCGTGTAGTAAGTAAATACCTATGATTTCGCATATCTTGGCACCGTCAAAGCTTCCCATTGTAGTGTCAAATATCCCATCTTTCTTTATCCATGCTTCTTCATTGTGGAATAATAATGATTTACGGGAGTGCTTAATGATGTTGATTTCGCTTGGTTTTATTATTATTTGTTCCTGAGCTAAGTTGATGGCCTTATCTAACATGCGTTCTGTTATGGATGGGTAAAATTCTTTTATGTCTAATTGTAGGAATTGGCAATTTTGTTTGCTATTTATGCTGTGGAACCAGTCAATAGTTGTTTTTGTATTTTTCCACTGGTTTACTCCTAACTTCTTCCTAAGTTCAGAATTAATTCTTTCTAGTATCATTTTACTTATTTTACCTAGATCGCTTTTGGCTGGGTTTATGAGTCTACTATGCAGGGTTGGTTTTGAAATTTTCTTTATGGTCTTTTAGTGTGATAAAGGATTGTGCCTTGCTAATACAACTTATTCGGTCATCTAGGTCTAACTTTTGAGCGATTGTTTTAGCTTCCTTTCGTTTTTAAATAAACGACTTACGGTAAAATAACCGCCATAATAGACTACCCACAATGCACCACTAACCCGTGTATGTATAAATAGCAGAGAAAAGTAACAGCACACGTGGCCTGACGTTTGCATATAGCATGAAACAGACTGTCCCCTCTAAGTGTTGACTTCTATGTTCACTTTTATATTTACACACGCTCTATCTCTGATATCGAGCACTTTATCCCATAAATATAGCACACCTTAAGACTATATTTCTTATATATATATATATATATATATATATATATATATATATATATATAAAGTGTCCATAAAATCTCTTTACAATTTAAAAAAAATATTGCAAAAGCAAATAAACAGACAAATATGTGGAAATTGTTACAAAATGAGGAGTAGATATTAAATTCTTTTTTTTTTACTAATTTAATACACTATATATTACTAATAACATGAGCAAGATTAGTAGCACGAAGCACATCAAGGTGATATTTGATTTCTTTCCACGTTCGCTGTAGCATAGTCTCCTCCATGGTGGCAATGGCATCAGTGATCTTTTGCTTTAGATCAGTGATGTTCCGCATCTTTGTTCGATACTCGTACCTTTAACATAACCGAATAGAAAGAAGTCCAGGGGAGAGATATCTGGTGAACGAATTGGCCGGGGAATTGGGGCATCTTCTCCAATCCACCGGTTTAGAAATATTAAGGGTTCATTTAACAGCACCTCATTCGTCAGCAGGATATCTGAAATACACAAATGGAATTAAAAACTTTGGTAACAACGGAGTATATAGAACAAATCTGATTAAGATATTTCATCAATTGCTTTTGTAATATATTTTTAAAATTGTAAAGTGGCTTTATGGACACCTTATATATATATATATATATATATATATATATATATATATATAATTTAAAGATATGCTATATTTATAAGTTAGAGTGTTCTATATCAGGGATAAAATGTACATAAATATAAAAGTGGACATTGAGGTTAACACCCAGCGGTGACAGTCTTTTTCATGCTTAAAC